TAATAAATAATAATAATAATAACAAACGATACAGGAACAATAGGCTCTCGCAGCGGTGAGCTGCTCGGGCCTAATAATAATAATAACAAACGGTACAGGAACAATAGGCTCTCGCAGCGGTGAGCTGCTCGGGCCTAATAAGAAACTTTCGAAATACAATAGGCCTTCGCAGCGCTTTGCTGCTCGGGCCTAATAAGAAACTTTCGAAATACAATAGGCCTTCGCAGCGCTTTGCTGCTCGGGCCTAATAATAATAATAATAATAAGAAACTTTCGAAATACAATAGGCCTTCGCAGCGCTATGCTGCTCGGGCCTAAATAAAAACAATAACCTCACACGTAACGACCAACAGGATATGACCTGCTTATTTAGGATATTTAAATAACCAAATAAACAATTTTTCTGCAAAATCTGAATTAACTGTTATAACAATTAGCAAAAAGGACTATTTTATGACGACCTGGCTTTTTCCAGATTTCAGTTTAGTTCTGTTAAATTTGAAAATTGTGGAAAGAAAACATTAATTAGCTGAACTTTTGTTTTCTATATAGCAATTTCATTGAAAACTTGTTCATGATGTATCTTAGTTGTTACATAGAAATGTAACAAAAAAGAGCTTATTTTAAGCAAAAAAGAGCTTGTTAAAACATTTATCTCAAAATTGTAAGATTTAAAATCAAAAATATCAAGAAATTCTATATCAAGAAATCATGAAACAAGGATGATATGTTTGTTTGTTTTACAGAAAAATAAGATTTACAATATATCTAATAAAAACTTCCTGCTTACCGTACTTTCAGAGGTTATGTGTCTCTCCCGTGGCTGCAGCTTGAATGTGCTCATGTTCACTTATAAATAAGATCTAAAGTGGGTCATTGGACTTAAGTATGAAATTTGATTACATTTTGTGGTTTGAGAAACAGAATCAGACTTTTCACACATTTCTCCTGTAACATCCTGCAGACTGTCCCACTCTGTTTGGCTTTCAGGACACATAACAGATTTTTTTGAGAACAGTAGACCTCTTGTGCGTTTCCTTTGGTTACATTCTTCATTCAGCTCTTCGAACATTTATTAGACGTAACAGTTCACTGTTTATTATTGTTGGACTTATTGGCTCTATGAAAATAATAAACTTACCTTTCAAAAAATCTTTAATGTCAAGATAGCCATGTTTAAACAGACATGGCTTGGTGATTAGCTTTGTGAACGGTTGATTTTCTCTGGGTACTCCAGTCTTAGGTTCCAAAACATGCAAACTTGTGACTGAAAATTGACCGCAGCCATTATATATTAAAGATTTGTCTAAGATTCTATCAATGCCAGCAAGTAAGCCTTATTACAGTGTCTGGAACTGAAAAACATGGTTTCAACAAACCCTAATAATTTATTTTTCAATGAGTATATGTAAACTGATGAATATAAAAGAGTAATATAAACCATTACAGCAGACGTGGTCATTTTGCTGCTTGATGCGAGTTTATTATCTCAGCTGTATGGATCTGTTCTTCTCTCTCTCACTGATTTCTCTCAGGCGTACCCGTCGTTAGTAGAGCCAGTGCTTGATGCCTTTTCTCAGGATTTTTATTAAAGAAATCAGATGTTATGTCTGTTTAGCAAATCAACAGGATGTCGTATGCCTCTGATGCCGTAATGCATACAGATTTTAAAAAATAGCATCCAAGTTCCTTATCTGTTTCTGCTGCGCTTGGTGCCAAGATGATGTATAATGACACAGATATTTAGAGTCAACGCTCAGAGAAATTGCTCCATGAGGGAAAAAAAAAGCTGCTGTTTGCAAACATCTCTGTGCAGTTAGTGTGCGATTACAGATAAATCAAGACTTGCATGGATTGAAAGTTTCTGAGGGAAGTGTTTTTATATTCAGGGCTCCTCTTTACTAAAGCCGCCGAAAGAATGAGTGAAAAGTGAGATTTGAGCAAACAGACACAAGTTAAACCCAGCTTCCCTCCTTTCTATATGCTATGATGTCTAAAACCAGAAAAATCATTGTTGAATCTTGACATCATTTCATTAACCATTTTTTTTATTCTTCCATTTCTCTCATAGTCTTTCAAGATAAAAACACACCACAATGTGCTGCATATATAGTCAATATGAAAATACTTTCACCACAGCAACAACAAGTATTTCCACTAGGTTTATCCTGATAGTGCAAATCAAAACGTGTAACAACAGAGGCATTATACAATTATGTATAACATCATAATTTTCCTTAAAAAAAGTACCACACAGGAATTTCTAAATGAAGCTAGGTTCCAAGAGCTAAACAATTACATCAAAGTATACAATAATACACAATATTACACATTGATCAGAGCCTTTACATGTTTCAACGTGCCAAATGTGTAGCAGGAGGGATCTATAATCTTTCACCAGGACTCCTGGTGCAAAGAAAGTACAGCACCTGGCAAAAGTATTTATAATTTGTGAAGTTTTTCCACATTTTTTCATGTTATAGCAACTAACTTTTAGTGTATTTCATTGAGAGTTTTAGGCTGTTGTTAGGAAACAGAAAAAGAATTTGATATTTTAAACCTTTTAAACAACACAAATTGAAAGCATGCAGAGTAGTGTATTGAATCCCCTTTACTCTTGTAACTCTATATAAGTTCCTGTGGTCTTCAGAAGTTGTGCACAGCACCATGTATGGAGCAAAACTTACACTGCTCATCGATTTGGATACACCACTTCCCTCCAAGCTAGAACATAGTGGTGGCAGCATCGTGCTCTGGGGATCATTTACTTCAGCAAAGTAATGAAAGCTGGAGCTAAATACAGGGGAATTGTGATTAAATATAATAAATAAACCTTTCAGATTCTGTGTAAGACTTGAGATGGGGGTGAAGGGACATTCGAGCAGATCTGTGACCCTGAGCATCCACCCAGATTTATTCATATGTTTTGTTGTTCCAACATGACCTCTATTCAGCCTGGTTGTATTTTCTCTTTCCACAATTGTTAAAAACAAAGAAAAAAAAACAGTGTATCTAGCGTTTAATGCTGAAAATGAACGTCTTCTTTTAAAATGAGGGATATGTAAGTAAACACAGGAGCAAGATTGTGATCAGAGTTCAGACTTAATTCATTTGCAACCAATCTGATTTGTGTGAAAAATTGCTTTTCATATTGATCCATGTCTTGAGAATAAAAAGTGAGGCTGTTATTCTCACTCAGCCTCCAGGTTTAATTTACATCTGCTTTATAGATAGGATCAGTGCACCACCCTCTTTCTCTTAAGCTTATCTTAATTAATATCCTCAATCTTATTCACATGTTTTTTTTTTTTTTTTGTTGCATCCTTGTTTCTAGGTTAGATTAAACCAAGCAGCTGTGGTAACAATAAATACGTAATCTGATCTGATATGTCCAGCCTGCAGTGAGTTAGGCTTTGTTGGTGGGCATTAACTTGAAGGTTTGCGGTTCTCTTCGTCCATGTTTGGCACCTAACCCCCATCTTTTACTCTTTCCTCATATTTGTCCGTCATATCTCCTCCTCGGGGTCGAAGCTGTGGCTGCTCATCTGTGACAGACAAAGAGAAGACACGGAGACAGGGAAGTGGAGGGGAAAGACAAGGAGGGGGTTTATAAGCTGCCAGCTCAGAATGACTCAGGAAAATTTCCTTCTATTAAAATAACCTGATTTCACAGTCTTGGTTCATATGAACTTTAGAAGACAGACTGGATTGTCTCATTCTAAACCGACAATTTTAGAAATAAAAACCAAAAAACCAAACAGAAATTCCTGATATTTGTAAACAATAAGGAATGCACCATGAAGTGGTAGTCTTAGACTTAGACCTAGACAGATTTTGTCATTTTGTTTACACAAGTGTAAAAACAAAAAGAAATTTCATTTGGAAACAGCTCACTGGACAATTTTATCTTTTTTAAAACTGCAGCCTTGAAAAATAGTGAGGAAAAAAAACTATATATAAAATCAGTAATATAAACATATGACTGTTAATTTACAGTTCTAACGTGTTTTTAATTTTTTTTTAATATAATGATAAAATACAATACAATAACGCATTTTAAAAACATATAGTCATCATCACACCTTCATGTCTGGGCTTTCCCTGATCCGATGATGGGAACTAGGTGGGGAAAGGGAAGAAAGGGAATGCTCCGGACTGCTGGCTGTCACGTCATAGGACAGACTGAGCGGACTGTCCTCTCTCAGGGGAGAGTCTGAAACACAGGAAGAAGGAGATACACTCCTAGAAATGAGAAGCTGAAATAAAGCATTTGGGGTAGCAGTGTCTAGAAAGCAAAATACTACCAGCTTATTTTTTATGGAAATGAAAGACAGAGCCTCAGAGTGAAGGTGACAAGATGAGGGAGGTGAACGACGTCCAGACTAGATGGTGACAGACAGACGAGTCGAATGATGATGGGGTAAATTAATAAAATGATCAGAGCTATCAATCCATTAAGGTCTTTCAGGGTAGGTGCAACCCACAGAAGGCTTAGATTGCTCCAAACAGGAAACAAAAATACTTCTTTATATTGGGATGCTGTGACATAAATTTTCGGTCTGTCAAAAGAGGTTTTGTTAAACATAAGTCCATGGAGCTCTCAGGAACGAGCCTCCAAGTCCTTATATTTTTCATTATTATGAAAAAAAGTGTGGCATGACCTTGTATGCAGCCCATTATTCTGTTATCTGCTCTTATCTTAATGATTATTACACTCAGACGATTGGGGCGTCTCTCTATCAGTTTTTTCAGTCCAGAAACGTACATTTTTGGCCCTATCTTCTTTTCAAAATACCTAAATTTCAGTCAGACTGAAAGAAAAGTGGCTATACGTCGGTTTTCAGGTTTTATATTAAAACAATTTTTGTCCAAACTTGGACTGGACCACTCCAACATGTCATGCTGAACCAAACCACTGTAGCCCAGGTTGTATTCTTGGTGCCACTGTCCTGATGTTAATGAACCTTCTCCCAGTCTTTTTTTTTTAACTTTTACAATGTTGTCTTTCATAATTAGCCTTAGTTAGCACCATCCACTCCCTTAATTGAATGTCATTATTCAATAAAACCCTTTTCACCACAGGGATATGCTGTCTGGTATGCGTGATGATAGTTTTTCAACTCACACATGGTTTTGGATATGGGCTATACTTACACTTTGGTCTTTTTCCAACATGTTTGCAGTGTCTCCTTCATGCTTTTCATCAAACAGAATTTCCAATGGTTCTATCCTCTCTTGAATAGATTTGCCTAGATCTTTTAATTACACTACAAATAGCTGTTCTGATAAAAATAATTTTCCCATTTGAGCTGTGGATGTCTGCAGCTCCTCCAAAATTATGAAATAAATCTTAACTGCTTCCCTAATCAGTGCTCTCCTTGCCTTATTTGACTGTGTAGATGGATAACCATGCCATGGTATATCTCAGACTGTCTTTCCATGTTTTGGAAAATGGATTAAACAGATGTTTATAACCTAACCCTGCTCTAAATTTGATTTCTTAGCAGCTTTTCTATTGCTGCTCATATAAAAAACACCTAAAGCAAAAAAACAAAACAAAAAAAACTTCTAAAACTAAATTGTATTACATGCAAATGTAGTTTAGACGATGTGAAAAAATGTTTTTGCAAGGCGCTCATATTTTACTTGCAGGAAGTTTCCACATGATGGCAGCAGAATCTATGCAGTGTATTAGATGCTGCACTCATTGTTTCATTTTAATATTACTTTTATTGCGCAAAATGACTGTGCCACTAAACCAATGTGAATTCAACTTGAAGCATATCCTTAGTGGATAATGAAAGTCACCTATTTATAATTTGAAAGAGAAGTGGCTCAATTCATGCATCACATTCCCATCCTCCTTTTCCCCTAAAGCACCATTTCTAAATCACTATTATTTGGACTGATGCCTGAAATATCTAGACTAGAATTAATCTGAAAGTAGGGTAGATTGCACTGAGTCCATTTTAAAAGGACTTTGATGCACCAGTATATTATCTATCATTTGATCGTGTGCCTCCACTGTCGTTCTGAGTGAGTACCTCACCTTTCTGGTCATCCCTCTGTGTGTCCATCCTGTCAAGACTTTCAAGGAGTCCATCGATCTGTGTCTTTATCAGAGTCAGCTCCTTTTTAATCACCTGTAGCTCCTCCATCCCCACTGTAAGACATAGGGAAAGGGAAACAGGTTACACAGAGATAAAAAGAACCTAAAGTACCTTTCAGTTAGTTACGGTCCGGCCAGTAAGTGAACACTGCTACTAAATTCAGCAAAGATAAGCTTATTTAGAGGCTAAGTTTGAGGGTATCTGGAAAACTACACACTTTGCAGCAATATGTTGACAGTGCTAGAAGAAGGTAAGCTGCCTTTTACTTTTTGGGGTGTAAACATTGTGTAGGTATGGCATGTTCAGGTATCAGTCACAAACTTCCATAATCCATAATCTCTACCTCCTTTATTCCTCTCCTAACCTCTTTTTTGTGTAGATCAAACTCCTATCAGTTTGATCTACATGGTCTTTTCTGTCCCTAATGAGGGGGGTGTTGACTTGCTTTGAGAACTAATGTACTACAGACTGAGATCTCCTTCAAAACTGGAAAACAACAGGTACAGCTTATATGATAAGCATTTGACATGCTTTATGCTGCCCTTCAGACCGTTCTTTCTAACATGTGAATTCATAGAAAATGTGGCCAGGCCTCTAGAACTTGACTGAATTTGACCCATTTGCATAAAACATGGAATGAGTTCCCCTGGGAACTGTTCTATGGTCACTTTTATTGAGACTCTACATGCTTGTCTGATGGTATGGGTCTATTGAGTAGCTGACACTACTTGCTCTCTTTTGGTAGCTATTAATCTGACTGTGGTGTTCCTCATGGCTCCATTACTGCACCATCTGCATTTATTTTCTACATGATCCAATTATTATGGTCCCATCATAGAGTATTAAAACATATATGTTGAACCACTAAAGACCAATTTACTGTGATTTCACAAACCCTCAACTAAAATGGAAGCTGAATTTTGCTTTTTAGTGCATCATCTCTGCAACCAACTTCCCCAAATGTCCAGGAAGGGTTGGCTCATTTAAACTAGGATCTTTCTTTTTTTTTCTATAGTGTTTAAATGTTATTATTATTATAACTCTTTCCTTTTCTGGTGTCTTATTTTTTCATTTGCATTTTATCATTTCCATTTTTATTTTTATGTCAGCATATTCATTGTATTTGTCTCTTGTCTTAAATTCTGTTTTATTATGGTCCTTATATATATTTCTTTTTGTTAGAGAATGTGGAATCACTCTTTTTTAGGCTGCCTCACCTTGTTTGCTTTTATTAAAGGAGGCATACACTTAGATATGTTTTTTGTTCTTCAAATTATATATTTAGATTTTGAGGAAGGACAGAAAACAATAAACCAAAGCTACCTATTTTGGTAATACAATGCCTTTGTCAGAGTTATAATCGAAGTAATTGTATTTTTTTTTAAACGTTTTGAATAGTTTAAATATATCAGCCTCAACTCATTCATACCACTCACACTTGGCTGTGTTTGAACTTGTGGACTGGGCTTTGGAGCTTTTAGAGTGGGTTCTGTCTCGACTGCGTCTGTGCCTGCTGGAGTAGGAATGGGAGGAGTAACGGGATCTCTTGGCCCCACTTGGTCCCAAAGGGAGAGGAGAGATTGAGGCTGGCACACGCTGGTAATCACATGCCCTGCAAAAAAATTGAAAATAATAAAGACAGAAAAAGTTTTTGAAAAAGAAAACTTATGTTTAATTGTGACTGCATCAAATCAATCTCTTGACAATCTCTGGAAACTCTTGACATTGTCTAAACCAAGCAAGATGGAAACAACCAAGAGAAGAAAATGACTAAGCTCTGCATATTATGACTAACCTTTTAAAATGGCAGGTGACCCAGATCAGAGAGGGTACAACTGAAAACACAATAGGCCAGTTCAGCTTTAATTGGAGGGTGGAACCGAGGGAACGACTGTGTAGTCAGTGAAAAGATTTTAAAGCAAAATACTCATAAATATAAAGAACACCAGAGAACACCAAAGAACACTCTTCCTTGCATGAATCAAATAAAACTTAAATTATTTCATTTCAAAATTCTTAATTCTTTAAAATCTATATCATTGCAAACAAGTTTCTGGAAACAAAAGCAATGTTGTAAAGCGACGAACTCCCTACTTGAATTTATGGATAATCAACAGTCTTACTCTATGCTCAGTCCTTATTCTATGAAAAACAAACTAACTGGTTGCAGCAAAATTACTGTAAGATGTAAAATATATCATATTTATTGACAGGTTTGGGTGAGTTGTATGTATAAAATAAGATGAATATTTTATATATTTTAGCAGGTTGAAAATAGTTAATCTTTTAAACGGTTAATATTCAGCTCCAACATCAAATAGTATAGATTCTGTTCCTACTGTCTTCAGAAAAAAATACACAGACTGTAGATATATAAAAGATACACTGGGTAAAATAAGAAAGTGTTTTTTTAAAATAAATATACATCTAAACACAGCTCCTTTGTTGTTGTTTTTTCTTTTTTCTATCCAGAATAAGAGAGTGAAAGTGTTTCCCTCTAGCACTGGCCTTCTCTCTACGGACCGCTCCATGTCTCTATCTGTCACTGAATGTAATTGGTTCTGTCAGGGCCAATCAATATCTCCCCGCCAGGCTGGTAGTGCTGCAGACAGCGGGTGTATCACAGTCAACCCCTATTGTGGTTACAGAAATGGCACTTGGTGCATAGCTGTTTCAGTAAAATGAGAAATATGGCTGTGATTTAAAGTAAATAAACAAGTAAAAGAAAATCCACAGCACTCATGACCCATTGACCAATTGAAACCAGGAACAAGATTAAATTAGACCCTTCACTATTCCTTGCCTTGAAAAAAAAAACATTGGTCAGCAGATAAAAAGCTTTGCAGTAAATAAATAAATAAATGTTTAGAATTCCAGCATTTCATTTGATCACATTTGTTCAGATGAATGACAGAAAAAAAATATATAAGCTTTTAATAAGACCGAGGCCTTTATGTAAAACTGAAACTTGTTGTAAAACACATTTAGAGCAAATTTGACGTGCATACACTACTTTCTGAAGTTGATCAAAATGCCCTGAACCGTTGAATTTTAATCTACCACTTTTGGTTTTTCTTGTGTCTAAATATAAGAGATAAAATTCAACTTTTGCCTGTGTTTATAGCCTGAATGAGGATCCATATTTATCCTGTCACCCCAAAAGAAACAGGGTTTCTTGGGAGCACAAAATCATCAAAACAGTTTTAAGATGCAGCCTACATCCAAACCTGAACCAACACTCTGAAAATATATTAGGTTTACTGGCCTAACTTGGTATTAGGAGCCCGTTTGGATAGTATAGACACTAGATAAAACTTATTTGGAAGAGTTTCTTGTACCAACTATAATAAAAAAAAATGCTTTTACGCTTTCAAGGAGATGACGGCTGCAAGCTAGATCAGGCATTCAACTCCAGTTGTAGCGTCTGCACATGTAATCTTTCAAGCACGCTGCAGAATGTATCAAGGATTTACTCTATTTTCTGAGCTCACATGTTCAGGCAGCAGAGATGTGCTTATCCCATTATAATATTTTGAACACCATGATGGCCAAATAGTGATGAGATTGGATCCTAGGTGGCAAATTGAAACTTAAACTCTATTGGCTTAAAATATGTATCTAGGCATTTGACATGATAGTTTCTGCATGTAATGACTTCAATTATTCAAGTGTGACAAAAAAGGAAAATAGAACAATTCAGTATTGGAAATGAATTGGAAATAGATCTGGGTATCAATTAGAAGCAGGGTGAACATCCATTGTGGGAGCTCAAATTAAGATGGTAGATGTACCGATTGAGTCGTCATTGAGTTGAAAAGCTGAAATCTTACTTCTGTGTTGTTTTGTTTTCCAAGACACTGAAAGCCTGGCAACAACATCTATGCAGGCACTTTGTTCCCTGCGCCTCTCCTTTAGCCGTGAAGAACAGAACGTCACATGTGGATGAAGTGCATTAGGACACCATAAGTGCGAGAGCTTACAGGCTTTGAGAACCATCCGCAAAGGGAGACATTGAGACCAAAGACTTTTGGGGTTTAAAGTATTTTTTTGAGCAGTTTGCAGGGGCAGATACAAAACGTGATGTCACCGCGGCTTTGAAGTGTCATCCCGGAGAAAGGAAGCTCAGACAATGAGAGAAAGCAGACGAGTGAGGATTACAGAAACGTGTGTGGGCGTATGTGTGTGTAAGAGTGTTTGTCTCTGTGGATTAGACCCCACATGGAAAGCAGCTTTGTCAGCTAGAGCCGTTATCAGTGCACTGAAAGACATTTTACTTTTGTGTTTGAACAACAGGACAGTCGTCCAAAACACAAATTTTTCTCATCAAGTGATGTTTACAACTAACAGACATAAATGCACACATAGACTTCACAGATTCAAACCTAGAGGGACATGCATATACACATGAATAGTTAATTTATGTCCTGCACACACACACACACACACATAGTAAGACACGCCACCTAACACACACAAACAAAGCTGTCTGTAGAGTTAGCCAGCAGCAGAGAGAATAATCAGGCACTGTGGTAAAAACAAATTGAAAATCAGTGGCGAGTGTTCCTCCTGACAAAGAGAGTGAAAGAAGGAAAACCAAAACAGAGAAAGCTACATAAAAAAGCTAAGTAATCTAAGCATCTGAGCAGTAATTGTTCAAAAAATAAATTACAAAAACTGGTGAAAAGTGTTGATCATTAAGCCTTTGCCTGTTTGTGTGTTTATATCTGTATGTGATGTGATTGCTTACTGTTATTCAGATGTGCTGATCACAGCAGTTACAGTTTAGGCCTGTAGAGATTTAGGACAGCCCAAGAGCAATTTTAGTAAATGACAGATTATATAGAAACACTCACCCCCTTGTCTTTCTGTGCGCTGAGCTTGCAGTGCAAAATGCTTTGTTTTTACTGCTAACCCACAATTTTAGGACATTTAACAATAAAGTTGATTTTAAAGTTTTTACAACACAGTGTTTTGACTTTATGGTTGTCAACCTGGCCATGCAGCAAGTAGAAATTAAAAACCTGAAGGGAATCCTTCAATTATTCCCTCTAGGGTTGTTTTCTCTAATATTAAAATGATTTAATAATAATTGTAATAATTAATTGACAAAAATTGCATCACTTGATATGCTTTTATGTTTCAAGTAAAAAAAAAGAGACAACAAACAATAAGAAGCATTTAAACAAAATTTAAAAGAGTACTGGATGCAATGAAACTTTGGATTATTATGGGAGAAAATAAAATTAAAACAGAGTTAACTATGCTTCTTAACTCTTTATCTCTTGTACAAATTACTGCATTATCTGAATACAATACAAATGCTTATTGTAAGATATTTCTGCCTATTTTTAAAAATAATTTTTAAAGAACACTGCTTTGACAATACAATCTTTTGAAATCCTCAATGGTTAACCAGGGCAGTCTTTTCCTTGTTAAACTTAACATTTTGAGATTCCAAATTAAATTTAAGAATAAACGGGGAATGGGCCCTTCTGACATGAACATGTGATATGAACACTTTTTTTATTAATTCAACACGTTTCCTCCCAGGACATCCCTGCATTTACATCAACTTATCTCGTCAACAACCCTAACTAATTTAGTTTTCTGACAAAAGACAGGCTTTTCAACAGGATGGTGCTGCTACCACCAATGAGAATGTTACTTTGTTTTTGTTTGTTTTTTTTTTTTGGGGGGGGGGGGGGGTGCTTGGGGGCAATATAAGTTTTATATTTTGTATTATAAGATTTCAACTTACAGTGTGTAAACTTTATTCCTTCTCATACACTTTCGGCTTAAAAGAAGTTTAATGGAAATAATGTTTCTGCAAGACTTCTGTATTCATATATGTACTTAAACTTCCAAAGCAACAAATTACAAAACCAAATGTTAAAAAAATAAAGAGCCCTGCACATTCCTGCAGTAGTGCATGAACAATTCTGAGCTAATCTGAGTGTTTCCCCTTTCTCTTTCAAAACATTATTGCACTTTTCGTGCACTAATATTAGCAACAGATATAGCCTCTTTGCTTCTTGTCTTGGCTTGTTAGATTCTTTCCCTATTTTAGAGTATAACCTCTGAAAATATCTGGATGCCCAAAAACGCAAAAGAAACAATTGCAAGCATTGTAACATTTATTTTCAGTATGGTTTCCACATTATCACTGGCTTTTATTGCATATTCTCTTTGAAGCCACTGTTGACTTCCACTGCACTGTAAATTGGAGGGGAGTAGAAGTTTGCCGCAGGGTGGAGCCACACGAAGAGTAAATTTAGGGCTAGAGCCCAAAAATAAGTAATAAATACTTAACTTCACCTGCAAATTTTGATTTTGTGCACAATTTTGAATGATGCAAAACTGCCGCAGACTGCCCTATTTAGAGGAGCATTTTGTGTGTGCTACAAGGTGCAACCATGAAAAAATTTAGGAGAATAGAACAGGTTTTATTATTTACCTTCCAGAGGCAGTATCAATATGTAAAAGCACTGTGCACACTTGGCAGGTATGATGTGGACAAGATGCAGGCAGTGGAGAGGAGATAGTGCCTTCTAGGTTTGTGTTAAAAGAAAAAGATCAACAGGACTTATTAACTAAGATGTCTTAGAGGCCAAAATACAGTAGATTAACATCTGGCATCTGGTATATTCCATCTGTCTCAACCGGTCAAGGTCATTGTTTCCATTTCTCAAAGCAACATCACAAAATAACCCCAGTCACATCATCTTACATCTGAATGAACGGTCCATCCAAATACAAGAAGATTGAGTGTTGCGAGGAGTCTTTCCATAAGAGATCTCGGATCAGCTCTAAGTCTGCCCTTGATAGATTATATGTCTCTTCTATCTTAATTTCTGACTGTACAAATATGTTGACATTTTCACAGGGCTTATCATCTGTCATCGCACCTTACACTTATTGCAGCAATTCTTGCCTTTACTGTAAGTTTGCTTTCAAAAGTGCCAGCAGGTTATTCCTGGTTTGATCATCGCATTGCAGGGGGTAAATGATTACATTTGCATATCCTCCACCCAGTATTTTGCATGTTCTGGTGAACAGCATATGATACATATTCATGAAAATAAACACCCTAATAAGACTGTCCCTGCTATTTCGATCATTTTACAGACATCATTCAGGGAGCAGGGAAGAACAAGAGTTTGTTTTTCAGTAATATCTGAAGTGAGCTTGTGAGGCACAAAAGGTCATACTAAATAAAAATAGAAAGGACAACATAAAGGCAGACAACAATCAAGAGCAAAACACTTCTACCATTATGGGACTCACGATCATGCAGTGAGCTGTGTAAAAAGTCACATTTTCTGACAGTACCTGTCATAGTAGTCTTCGTGGTAGCTGTCATAGTCCAGATCAAACTCTGATCTGCAGAGAAGATGGAGACAGAGTCAGATGAAGTGGTTGCAAAACTTTGAGATGCTTTTGTTGCTGCTATCATTGATTTCATTCAGGGGGTAATTTGTTGTGGGGTATGTGGATAAATGTCTGAGCCTAAATATAGTTTTTTGATGTCGCTTCTTCATCTGGAAAAAAGAAAGCTGTTTTCATGGTTTCTAGCCAATTGGAAGAAAACATGGGCTTTTCTTTTTCTGCTGCAGCATCCAGGTGGAAAATCTATAAAAATTGGATCGTGCCGCAACCGTATCACCCACTGAACACATCGATGTTTGAGCTTGGTGAGGTAAGCTGGGAACCATGGGCAAGAGTGAGACAGAAAAATGAAAGGAGAATGAATGATGTGACAGATATTTATGAGGGCTGATACAGTTGAAGCATATCTATTAAAAAAGATTGGAGGAAGTAAAAGAACAGTGACACTAAGCCACAGTGAGAGCACAGTCTGGTGTGTCAGATTCCAACCAAATCCCTGTGATGAGTCTCTAATAATCCCTGCATTTGGCTCACCATCATGCTGTCTGCTGCTCTGTCTGAGTGACTCTGTCCTCATCATTATGCCCTTTTTAAAACTAACTTCAATTCCTACATTTATCTCTAAAACTCTAAAGAAAAACATATTTGATTAATTAATTGTTCAAGTTTGACACCTATTAAACTATCTTTCTTTTGGAGCAAAATTGCTTAGATTGACAGCAAATCCATGATGTAGAGGTATTTAAAAGTACAGTTTAGAATAATAAACCTTTTCTTACTATAACATAGTGCAGATTGTCCACATGGCTACTTATGGTAAGAAAAGGGTTCAATTGCAATCTTTCAAAGTTGGACAAGAGATACATCTATGAAGCCTGAAAGTAGAACCTCTGCACTGGATTGTCTATATATATATAAGTATTGTACGCTTTTGTTTTTTTTTCAGGAATAATCTTTAAACTATTGAATTACTTAACAACAATTACATTTTCATTTGATTGTATGCTGTGTAATTTTTCCATCCATCCATTTTCAATATTAGCTTATCCTTTACTAAAGCCTCTTTCCCACTGAAAATAGTGGGTGAAAACGGGTTTTTCAAACACTGGTCGACCTGCTAAGAATCGGCATTTGGCTCCCTTCCCATTGGCAAAAAAAAAAAACGGGGTCTGATCTACTGCTGGTAAGCTGCATGTCCTGTTTCCTCTTACTGCTGCATGTATGGCGACACTATCACGCTGGGTTAGTGTTGATGATGTCACCAATGCAACAGAAATCAGGAAAGTAGGAAAGGCCAACTTGGAAGTGAGCCAGCGCGTAGTAAGTGTTTCGTTCTTTTGTCTCTCTGAATCCCTGAATGGCCACGTTTATCGACTGTAAGCAGAGCTGTTCTGGCTTGTTAGCGGGTCGACCCTGGTCAGATGTTCCCACTGTATTTTGAATTGTTTCTACATTTTACATTTTAAAATTACATTTTGTTTGTTCCACTTGACTGGGATGTACAAGAAACATATCTAACCAGAGATGTGAGTTTGGGGATGTGTGATTTTCTGAAGAAAAAGACTGAATCTGAACTTAAGACTTATTTGGATAGGACTGCATTAACATTTTCACCCAGCTCTGCTCTAATTGTCTCTTCTGTGTCTCATGCCAGCTGTTTTTTTCAAGCTCAGGGGACAGAAAACCTCAAAATAATTTATAACAAGCTCTTTTCTGAGCGACACACTTTACACTAATGAAATGCACAATTTGAAGGCATTCTTTTTGTTTTCCCATTTCAAACAAAAAGTTGCCTGGGTTGTCATTGTTCTCTTTTTTTAAGACACTTGAAAATCTTTGTCTTCCATTTGAGAATTCAATATAATGAGAGCATTTCTCGACTTTTACATCTTGTTCCTGTAAAAGATCCATGAGACAGAAGAACACAGCACATACAAATGCTGGAATTCTCAGCTTTTCAACTAAGCTGACTTTTGTGTTTCTGAATGAATTCATCTGTAAGAGAAACAGCAAATAACATAATTTCAATAAAATCCTCATTGAAGGATGCTGCTGCTCACTTTCTGTTTAGTTCTTTTGTTTTGTGGTTATTCATCTTGTGATGAAGTTCTGGGAAACAAACTGTCATCAGGCTAATCATCTCTTTGAAAAGAAATATGCCAAATATCACTTTTAATATTTTTTTTCTCTTACGATACTTTATTTGAAATAATCTTAGGTCAGGTCTTATTCTCTGAATTAAAACTACAATGAATGTTGAAAAGTTTAAAAGAAAAAAAATTAAGCATCAGATGTGGTTAAAAGGATAACAAAAAAATTGCACAAGAATACCTTCTTCTTTTTTTTCCACATTTGATTTTAAATCCCAGCGTAGGCTCCTGTGACAGGCTAGTGACCAGATGACTGACGTCCTTCGCAACAGCAAAGGAGTTGGGCTAGATTAGGTTAAGTTGATTAAATGAATGACTGCATATCATATAATTTAGGGGAGTTGTAGACTTGTGATTAGGGCATTGCGCTTGGATTCCAGAGGTTCTAAGTTCAAGCCCCACTCCCACAGACTGCCACTCTAGATCCCTGAGCAAACTCCAAACTGCTCCCCGTGCGCTGCACAATGGCAGCCCACTGCTCCCCAAGGGGATGGGTTGAATGCAGAGGTAAATTTCTCCAATGTGAGATCAATAATATTCAATTATTGTATGCTATAGATCTTTCTTTTTCCTCTTTTATGCATATTTGTATGTCTCTCTACCAAACTGATGTTATATCACTTATTTTCAAGTTCCCTGTCCACTACTTAAAAAACAAAAACAAAAAAAACAATACCATAAATAGTTTGGAAGTTTGTTCAGAGCAGAGATCCTTAACCCCACACTGCTCCCCAGACACCGCTCAATGGCAGCCCACTGCTCCCCAAGGGGATGGGTTGAATGCAGAGGTAAATTTCTCCAATGTGAGATCAATAATATTCAATTATTGTATGCTATAGATCTTTCTTTTTCCTCTTTTATGCATATTTGTATGTCTCTCTACCAAACTGATGTTATATCACTTATTTTCAAGTTCCCTGTCCACTACTTAAAAAACAAAAACAAAAAAAACAATACCATAAATAGTTTGGAAGTTTGTTCAGAGCAGAGATCCTTAACCCCACACTGCTCCCCAGACACCGCTCAATGGCAGCCCACTGCTCCCCAAGGGAATTGGTTAAATGCAGAGAGTTCATTTTGTTGCTCTGTACTTGTGACAGTTTAATAACAATAAAAACAAGAAAAAATTGTATAAAAAGGCTTCCTGTTTTGACCAGGAATTTACAGGTTTCAGCTTTAAATACCATAGACAGCTGGCCAAAACACTAAAAACCCAAAGGACATCAGTAATTCCATCACATGTGAAAAAACATATGATAGAGGATTAGGGCCATGGATAGGAAAAGAAAAAAATGGCAACTCATTAAAATAAAGAAAGGCAATTGTGTCATGATCTCGGCACTGATGACTGGCTTAATCACTCATTCCATTCACCTGTCTAATTCTGCCTGGTTTCTCATCACTGCACAGCTGATCCTAATGCTGGAACTCTGAGCCTGCCTGTTCCTGTTCTGATCTCTTTGGCTGACCTGTCTTCGGTCTCCTGCTTGTTCTCCGGGTTGCAATATCTAGGACACTCTGGATGACACCCGCCTCATCGTGTTGGCAACTCACCAGCTGGATTCTACCGTGTTCTCTTGCTACGGACTGAATTGGTAAGCCAGGTTTACAAGTTCAATTCTGCCCGGTTTTCTCATCACTGTTCACTTGATCCACATGCTTCTGCCTCTAAAAAGGTGCTTGCTCCCAGTTGTCAGCTCTGGATTATTTTTTAACTTTTGGTGTGAAGGTTTTTTAGCTTTACTTATAATGTTCTCATTGCCTGATCCTGACCTGTTTCTGTCTTTGGACCTTTGAGCCTGCCTGCCCCTGTTCTGATCTGTTTACCTCTCCTGTCTTAGGATTCTGTTGGATTCTACTGTGGACTAAACCTGGATCTGCCCCTCGACTTCAACCTCTGGATTGTGCTGCCTTCCTTCAGTCATCTGCTCAGATCTTATCTCCTGAAAGTTCTGTGTCCTTCAAGGCTTCGGCGTCTGGAACTCTCTGTGCAGCAAGCTCTGCATCTTGTCAGCTGACCGGCTGCTATCAACCTCGTTCTCCGGGCACAGAGTAAACTCTAAACCAGGTTAGTGACTCACATGTTCAGATTATCCTCCTTCAGGTTTTTGTGGTCACTTATCTGTATTTCCATCTCACCAGAATTACCTGCCTCAGAGGACCTAGCCGCTACAACTCTGATCTGTTGTTGCTTTAATAAATGCTTTTTAAGTTATCCCACTGTCTGTCTTTCCTGAATACTGGGTCCCTCTGTTTTGAGTCCTTACACTTTCTATGGGAGGATCTATTCGCAATTAAGAATAAATACACATATCAACCTGGTTTTAAGCCAGGTTATCTAAAACTATTGCATTACTATGACAATCTTCCGGGCTGTTAACTCTCACCCATTGGGTATGAGACTCACACATCTCGGTGTCCTTACACGCTCACAATCCATATCCGCAATTTTTCACTCTTCTAAATGTCAAAAAATGACAGACATTAAAACTCAACTCCATTCCACTTATTTATCTATAAAATATTATGCTTATAAAAATCCACTAATTTAGTAATCCATTCATCCCTAACTGGAATATGAAAACTGGAAACCTCAGACTTAAGGCAGTATTCCATAGACTCAGACTAAAATTTTGGTGTTTAAGTAGTTCTAACCATGCTAATATTTTAGGGTGACCAAACGTCCGTATTTCCCAGGACATGTTCGTATTTCACGTCCTATCCTGGGTGTCCCGGGTTTTTTTTAGAAAGTGAGGAAATGTCCTGTTTTTTTAAATTACCTTAATTGGACCATTAAATTTACAGACGCTAGGGCACTGCGCACGACGCTGCGTGTGACGTCAC